ATGCAACATGATGCAACGTTGCCCAGCGGTGCGATTACAGTCGGGCCGCTGAAAGAAGGAACGCTAAAGAAGAAACGAAGCCTCTTCTTGGCCCGGTAAGCGCATCCATGCCCCAGGAGGGCACGAGGAACAGCTCTGGAGGAACCTGAGGAACATCGAGCCCCTTCCGAACCCAAACTGTTCCTTATTCCAGCGTCTTGACTGCATCGGAGGCGCTCGGCGACGCCCTCTGCGCGAGCCCTTCCCCCTACGGTTATGTTGTTCCCACCCTACTTAAGGACCACATCCCAGAACTAACTTCGAGCACCCAGAAAAATGTCGAAACAGTGCCGAAACAGTGTCGGACGAGTGTCTCCCAGGGCCCGACACATGAAAACGCTTGAGCTTCGTTTTTTGGGGGGGCGCCCGAAATTCTTCCTGGCGGTCAAGGCTAAAGCAGGTTGGAGCATCATAAGTCTTGACTGCATCGGAGGCGCTCGGCGACACCCTCTGCGCGAGCCCTTCCCCCCACGGGCGGTGCCCGCGAGGCGTGCAGGGCCCCCTGGGCGGGAGGCCGGCGCGGACGCCAGTGGCCACTCGAGGCATCACGGCGGCGCTCCCGCCCTGCCCTGGGCGTCTTTGAAGGGGCCCTGGGGCACACAGATAAATAGACACAGATGACAGGATGTCCAATCTTTTCCCATATTTGTCATGGGTTTTTGTCTTCCCCCCCACTTCCCATATTTCCCCATGTTTTCTGGAGAGTGGACGATTCATTGTGTCTGTGTGTTTTTCTCCCTCCTGAGCGTAACTTGAGGTCGGTGGCGGCAGATCCTGCGGGACCCTCACAGACCGACCCGGCTCGAAAAATGGCGGGCAAGGTTTCTATTCCTATCCAGTGCGTCTTGGACTTGCGTGGAAAGGGCGCCACGAGGCCGAGGCGCACTGGGTGTTGATAAACATCGAGCCTCCGAGGGGACCGAATTCTCATCCATTTCCAGTGCGCCTCGGCGTCTGGGGAAGGGAGTCCGAAGCTCCAAGCTGCAGTAGAGATGGACAAGGGCTCTAGGCGTGATTCTTCCCCTATCAGTGCTTGCACTAAGGGGTCCTAGCGGAAGCTGAAGGATTTGGCGAAAGTTCCCCGCCGATTCTGGTGGCAGGCTGGGTTCCCGGTTCCCGGGTTCCTGGTTCCGGGCCGATTTCGGAGGGCGGCGCGGTTCCCGGGTTCTCGGGTTCCTGGTCGATCTTCTTATCGATCGGTCTCACCATCGATCTCATTACCGACTTCTCGATCGATCTCACCATCGATCTCACAATCGCTCTCACTATCAATCTCACAAGCGATCTCACTAGAGATCGCATGAGCAATTTCGCGATCGATCTCACTATCGATCTCATTGAACCGATTTCACTCTCGGTCTCACGATCGACCTTACAATCGTCATCACTATCGATTACACTGTCGATCTCATTATCGATCTCACAATCGATGGTAACAATGTTCAGATCGTCCACTGATCAGGGTCTTCTCAGGCGTATTTTTTTGCGCTGCTGCAGTATTTTCGCTACGCCGGATCGCAGGGCAGTGGGGGGAGGGGGGAAGGCAGGCGCACCTCTCGGACCCCGACGGCCCCCACTTGGGGCCAGGAGCAGCCCCCTCTCGGGGCCCTCGAGGGCCCCATTTGCTGCAGCCCTCGCTGCCCCTAATCACGCCCGGGCCCCAGGCCCTGGACCCCAACTTCCTGCATCTCTCCTGTCGAACCGGGTCGATAGGTGAGGGTCCTGAGCTCGAACAAAAACGGAAACACCCGGCTCGAAAAAAATGCGACGCCAGGATCTACGGGTATGGCCCCCCATTGCGCAACGCCGCACTGCCCAAGTCTGCGCGGTCCCTGGTCCCTGGACCCCTCCGGTCCCCGGTCCCTGGACCCCTCCGATCCCCGGTCCCTGGTCCCCTGGCAGGGTCCATCCTGGGGAGACGTAAGACTCGAGATTGGGGGGCTCGGGTTGGCCTGACGGGGCGGTCATGAAAATGACGAGATGCGATTTGAAATTTGACGCAAACTCTCGCTGCAGACATCCCACGAAGTCTGGACTGTCGAAATCCAGGACGCGCTCGTCAAAAAGCATCGGCAAACCCGAATTCCGGCGTACCCGAGTCTTGCGTTTCCCCGTCTGTGGCCCGCTCTTCCGGGCGGATCCCGCCGCGGCGACGGGCAGCCTTCGGGGACGTTGGCCCCGAGAGAACATGCAGACCCCCGGAAGCTCTTCAGCCGACACCCAGATCCCAGGATCCCCCATCTTGTCCTACATTTTCTGGGTGTCCGTCCTCCCCCCCCCACTTCAACATACATGTTCCCATCTTTTTCCCTGGGATCCCGCGATTCATTGCGTCTGTGAGTTTTCTCCCCTCCCGAAAGGAACAAGGACAGGCGACACCAACACCAACAGGGCGAGGAGATGCGCGGAGGCAAGGGGGGTCTACCTGGTGGTGTGGCCCGCCCCCCTCTCGCTCGAGACACCCCCAGTCTCTCGCTCGGGGAGGCATCGTGGGCCTCCTCGCTGGAGGTGGGCCCCCTGGTGGTGTTGGTATCGTTTCTCCTCCCTCCGACCCGATGAGAGCACCTCCGCGGAAGGACGTAAGGAACAACCACGGAAGGACGTAAAGAAGAACCACGGAAGGACGTAAAGAACAACCACGGAAGGACGTAAGGAACATCGAGCCCCTTCCGAATCAAAACTGTTTTTTTCAGCGCCTTGGCTGTACTTTGTCCCATCTTTTCTCCTGGAATCCGGCGATGAATTGCGTCTCTATGTGTGTTTGCCCCCTCCCGACGAGAGCACCTCCAAACCCCTGGAAGCTCTTCCCGGCGCCCGGGGGCGCCCATGTATCGAGGAATGGGCCTGGCGGCGGGGCCGAAACCGGCTGCATGCAGCAGATTTCGTACCCCCCCCTTTCACAATCCCCCCCGTTCGAGAGGCCCGACGAGAGCACCTCCCTCCACATCTTGTCCTACGTTTTCTGGGTGTTCGTCCCCCCCCCACCACTTCCCACACGTGCTCCCGTCTTTTTTCCTTGGATTCGGCGATTCATTGCGTCTCTGTGCGTGCTTTCTCCCCTCCTCGCTCTGAGGCTGCGCCCTCCCCCTTTCCTCCCCCTCCATGGATAATTCAAGCCTCGCGCGGCCCGCTTAGCTTCGACCGGAAGAGGTGCGCTCTCGACCCGCGAATCAAAAAGTGGTTTCTCCCCTCCTCCTCCTCCTCCTCCTCCTCCTCCTCCTCCTCCTCCTCCTCCTCCTCCTCCTCTTCCTCCTCCTACTCCTCTTCCTCCGACGACAACGACGACGAGAGCTCGTCGAGGACGACCCGACGAGAGCACCTCCAGACTCCCGGGAGCTCTTCGGCCGACACGTCGCCCGCGCCGGCCCCCGGCGAGGCGGCGCCGGGCCGCGCGGCGGGCGCCGCCGAGGCGGCCGCGGCGGCCCAGGCCGCGCGCTCCCGCAGCTCCAGGCGGTCCAGCAGCTGCGCCCTCGGCGGCCACACGCAGGAGGAGGGGGAGGGGGAGGGGGAGGGGGAGGAGGAGGAGGAGGAGGAGGAGGAGGAGGAGGAGGAGGAGGAGGAGGAGGAGGAGGAGGAGTAGGAGGAGGAGGAGGAGGTGGAGGATGCTTGGCCTCACGCATGGGGGGCCCTCGCCGGGCCCCGGGGCCGTCAGAGAACGACTCGGGTCGAAGCACTGGTCCCTTGGAAAGGGCCGGGGCTTCCGGGGACCGCGCAGTGAAAGCAGCAGGACGCCGTGGCGCACGCGGGCCGCCGGCGCGGCACACGTGCACTGGGAGGAGGGCGCTCGCGCGCGCCCGCGACGGTGCGGTGCGGGCAGCGGGGCGCGCGCACGTCGGCGCAGAGCTGGACCCGCTGGCCTTCGTCGCTCCGCCTGCTCTCTCGCCAGCGGGGCTCTGCCTCTGGATCGGGAGCGGTCAAGAGGGTGGTGTCCAAGAGGGGCGGGGTGCAAATCATGACCGGCGGCACGTGCGCGGCCCAGCGGGGGGGCCAGGGACGTAATGAAATAGGAAGGGACGCCATGAAATCTGAGGAAAGATCATGGCCCCCGCCATGTTATCCACCCCCCTCAGTCATCACCTTACTCTTTGCCGCCCCCGACTGGATGTCGGCCATCGGGGGCCGCCTCTGGGGCCCGGGGCACTCGAAGGTGGAGCTGGGCCAAACTATGCCAGCCCGCAGGCGAGCGGCGGGGACCTCCCTGGGGCCGGGGGCGGAGAAAAACAATCCCAGCGGCGGATCCGTCAGGGAGAGCCCCAGGCGAGCAACATCGGGGAGCCGAAAGGCTAGGGTGCGGGGGACTCGAGTTGGCCTGACGGGGCCATCCGAGGAAAGGAGGAGACCCAATCTGAAATCTGACGCGAGCTCCCGCTGCAGACGTCCCACGACATCCAGGACGCGCTCGTCGAAGCACGTCGGTAAAACCGGGTTCCGGCTTACTCGAATCTTACGCTTCCCCGGCAAGGGCGGCCTCCGGTGCGCGGCCTTAGTGGGCCCAGGAAACGGCAGGGCCGTTTTTCCACCGTTTCCAAAAAAGTCCCTTGAAAATGGAAACGGCAACAAAAACGGCGACCGGAAACGGCAAAAAAAACGGCTCCAGGATTGGAACCGGAGCCGGAACCGGTCGAACAACGGCGACGGAACCGGTAAAAAAAACGGCCCTGTCGTTTCCAGGGCCCACTAAGTCCCTGGAAAGAGCGACCTCCGGTGCGGGGACTGCCGCATCGCTGGCCGCGCGACTGCGGCCAGTGGCTGCCTGCGCGCCCCGGGGCGAAGGGGCCCCGAGCGCACCCCTACGCCCGAAAATGCCGCGCGTTGGGCCACTGCAGTCGGACCCAGGACATAGAGTATGAAGTCGGGCCTGTCCCCCTACAGTCGGGGCCTTGACCTAAGGAACCCTAAATAGGGAACGAGGCCCCTTTTTTCCATAAGTTGAACTTCGATTTCCGATCGGAAACCTAAGGGAAACCTGAGGCAAGCTGCGAAACACTTAAGGAACGCGGAGCCCCTCCCCAACGAAAAGGGTTCCTTCTTCAGGGCCCCGACTGTAGTATTAAGTCGGGCCTGTCCCCCTGCAATGGGATTTTCGACGAAAAATAAAAAATACCCCCAAAAAAAAACAAAAAGAATCAAAAAATAGTATGGGGACTATTTTTTCAGTATTTTGTTGACCTTTTTGGTGCATTTCTGGGGTATGTTTTATTCTTCGTCGAAAATCCCCCTGTAGGGGGACAGGCCCGACCTAAACATAGTTACATCCTCGGAGTTCATGGGGCCCTCCACTGGACCAACCTGACAGGCATGCAAGGGCGCCCTCCCCCAGGATGCACAAGAACACCCAACTCAGGCCCCCCCAGGATGCACAAGAACCCTCCCCGAAGAGCATCAGGGCACCCTCCCCGAGGCGACTTCGACCTGATGTAGGAAGGCACCAACTATACACCAACACCGATCCTGGCCAGGATCACCCTGGGCCCAGGATCGGTGTATACGCCCTCCTGCCTTGCGCAAGAAGGCATATACACCGATCCAGGGCCCAGGGTGATCCTGGGCCAGGATCGGTGTTGGTGTATAGTTGGTGCCCTCCGATGATGCCTCGGTCCGACTGCGTGAACGACAAGGGCAGGGCGGGACCAGCTCAGGGGGGAGGCATCGAGCCCGAACCGGCGGCCCCTCGCCGATAGCTGAGCGAGAGGTCCCCGATGGCACATCCACACGGGCCCTGGGCGGGGAAGGGCCACAGGGGCCCCTGTCAGCGATCCGTGCGCGATGGGGGGCCGACGGATTCCGCCCTGGTCCTGTCCGGGGGAAGCAAAAAGTGGCACAAACATAGAAACCCGGAGGTCCGCGCGGATTGCTCGGATCGGCGCTGGGGCCCCCCGGCGGCGCCTCCGGCGCCGCCCCTGGCGCGCTCCGCGCGCCAGGGAAGGGGGGTCCAGCGCCGATCCGAGCAATCCGCGGGGACCTCCGAGTTTTTATGTTTGTGTCATTGGCGTTCCCCTACTGTCTCCCGTTGCCCCTGACACTCGGGAAGACTGGGGCATCCCTGGAAGGCCCTCGGCGAGGCGCAGCTGCCAAAACGCACACTCCGAGGCAAGAACACCGACGACGACCCCCGAGAGAACCTCCAGAAGCCAAGGCAGAACAACCTGCAGAGAACCCCGAGGCAGGAGAAACCCTCCGGCAAACCCAAGGGAACCGAAGGAGCAGAGCCCCGCGGAAGAAACCTGCGAACCACCCTATGGACGACAGCGGGCGCTCCAAATTCTGCGATGCGCGGACCCCCAGAGGTCTGGACCGCCTCCCTCGGCGGTGGACAAACCTCCCATTAGTAAACCTCCATTTGGGGAAAACGGCCTGGGACCGAAACCGACGGACCTGGACCCGCAAAAGTCACGGCCGCGACGCCCTCTCGCGAACCGAAAACGGCCTATTCCTCAATCGACGTGTCCAGGTAGGAGGTCCATCCACCTCCGACTCCCTGTGGATGAAGGGGCCTTGGGACACACGAACAAATACACACAATCAACAGATTCCCCATATTTTCCAAGATCTTCTGGGCTTCTGTCTCCCACCCCCCACTTCCCACACTTTCCCATATTTTCTGGGGAGTCGAGAATTCATTGTGTCTGTGTGTGTGCTTTTCCTCTCCTGAGCGGAGCTGGCTCCTCCGCTCGCGAGTCGTCGGCCGACGCTCCCGGGGACCGTGGCAGGCCCCCACCCTGCAGAGGCCGCGCACGGCCTCCGGAGAGAGCTCGCCGGCCGCGCCACCTCTCCGTCGGGGGCCGCGGGCCGCTGGGACGGCCCGAGGCGCCCCACCGAGGAGCCGACGAACAACTGTAGAGGAAAACAACAAGGGAAAACAATGGTATAAACATAAAACATAATCATATACTGAGCGGAGTAATAAAAAAAAACAATGCCAAGATTTTGCCCGTTTTCGGCCTCCAGGGGCCCTCGCCAGGCCCAGGGCCGTCGAACAAAGACCCGGGCTGAAAAGCCGGCCCCGAGGGGAACGGGTCGGGACTTCCGGAGGCCCCGTGCTGAAAAAAAATATCAAGACCTCGCACGACTGGGAAGACTAGAGGAACGAGAGCTCTGCACATACACCGATTCTGGCCAGGCCCGTCCTGAGCCCAGGATCGGTGCATACGCCCCCCTACATTGGCCAGGAAGGCATACGCACCGATCCTGGGTCAGGGATGGGCCTTGCCAGGATCGGTGCATGTGCATAATTAGTCCCCTTCGCCCGAAACTGCTGTTGTCGTCTGTGGACGCTCGAGCGCAAAAGTGCAGGAGGCCACGACACTTCTATGGCCTCTCTCCTCTCGCTCCCCCCGCAAAAAGCAGCGCGCGTCGGAGGCCGCCCTCGAGCGAAGATCGGCGGTGGACAAACCTCCCTTTGGTAGACCTCCCATTAATGAAAACGGCCTGGGACCGACCCCGCAAACATGACGGCCGCGACGCCCTCTCGCGAACCGACAACGGCCAATTCCTTACTGGACGTGTCAGGATAGGAGCTCTGTCCACCTCCGAACCCTCCCCCCGAAAAAAGCAGCGCGCGTCGGAGGCCGCCCTCGGGCGAGGAGGGGGCCACCCTTCACGCGTGCCGCCGAGCCTCAGGCCCGCCTCCGGGTCCCCCCGCTCGAAGCCGGCCAGCGGGATCCCCACGGCGCCGCACTCGGCCCAGAGCTCCGGGGTGGGCAGCGCCGCCCAGACGAGGAGCTTCCGCAAGCGCCCCTCCAGCTCCTCCGCGGCTAGACGAAGCCAGGGCGAGGACAGCCTCCTCCCCCCTCCTCCTCCTCCTCCTCCTCCTCCTCCTCCTCCTCCTCCTCCTCCTCCTCCTCCTCCTCCTCCTCCTCCTCCTCCTCCTCCTCCTCCTCCCTCCTCCTCCTCCTCCTCCTCCTCCGCCTCCGCCTCCGCCTCCCGCCTCCTCCTCCTCCTCCTCCTCCTCCTCCTCCTCCTCCTCCTCCTCGTCCTCCTCGTCCTCCTCGTCCTCCTCGTCCTCCTCCTCCTCCTCCTCCTCCTCCTCCTCCTCCTCCTCCTCCTCTCCGTAGCCATTTTGGCTCAAGATGTCTGACTGGGGGGGCTGCAAGCCTCCAGGCAGAAAGGATACCGCTGGTCCGCGGCCAGCCTCCCGACCTTCTGTGAGCTCCTGGGGGAGCGCCATCCGCTTAATCTACTTGATTGCCGCGGCGGCGCTAGGGAGCAGTGCAGGATGGCGACCAGGAGGCCCCCTTGGGCTCCGGGCAGCAGCGGCGGAAGCAGGACGCCACACGGCGGTCCAGTCGGCAGCGGCACCGTGCGCGACAAGCCCGACTGGTTCTGCTGCAAGGACGCCTGCAAGAATGCGAAAGGCGAGCGCTGGTGGAACCCTGGTTCGTCAATGCGGTGTACAAAATGCAGGTTGCACAAGGGCGCCTGTTTCGGCAGCAATCGTCCTGCTGGTGGAGGTGCCCCCTCGGCGCGCGCGCCCAGCGTGGCTGACAGTCGTGCCGAGGCTAAGTACAAGAAGTTCTACGAGGACAAGATCGCGGCGCTGGAGCAGGAGCTGCGCAGCAAGTCCTCGCAGGACGGCGACATGGAGACCGACGGCTCTGCAGTCGAGGCCCCAGCTGCAGGTGCCGCCGCGCTGCGGAAGCGCGCCGCCAAGCTGGCGGCCGAGATCAAGCTGCTCAAGGGCCGCGACGACGTGGGTGGCATCTACAAGGGCGTCATCGACTCCTTCCAGACGGAGTTGGACGAGCTGCGGAAGAAGCTGCACGATGCCAAGCCCGCGGACGCCAAGCTCCAGATCGCCCGTCGGGACGTCAAGAAGAAGGAGGCTGCCCTGGTCAAGGCAGGTGACAAGCTGGCGCAGCAGGAGGAGGCCGTCGCTGCAGCACAGCTTCGCCTGGAGGAGCTCAGGACCCAGCGGGAGCAGTGCGAGGCCGAGCTCGGCCGTGCCAAGGCCGTGGTGCACGAGCTGGTGGCTGCTGATGCTGCTCAGGCTGGCCCAGCCGCTGACGGTGGCAGTGAGACGGGGGCGGTCGCCCACACGTTCGGCATCAACAAGGCCGCGCTGGTGGCCAAGTGCGGGGAGCGCGGCTTCGGCGACCACGCTGAGGCGGTGTCCAAGCTCCTGGAGGAGTTGCTGCCGCAGCTGGTGGTGCCCGCGGAGCGCCCTGCTCCCCACCCTGTGGGCGCGGCGAGCGCAGCAGCCGCCCAAGCCGTGCCCAGCACCGAGGACCCCATCGGCAAGGCATCCGAGGAGGCGCTGCGCGCCGAGTTCAACGAGCTGTGGCCCGCTGGCATCGCGCCCGACATGCCGACGGACCTGGAGGGGATGCGCGCTATTGCTGCTCGCCTTGCCGCTAGCCCGCTCATCGGGGCCGCAGCGCGCATGCGAGCTGGACCGTACTGACCTTGTCACCATGGCGAGCCTGGGCAAGAGCAACAGCACCGTCGCCGCGCCCGACCTGGTCCAGGAGGACGCGTGGGAGGCGGAGGGCGAAGCGGCCCGTCACCTCCTCGGCGAGGCGGCAGCAGCTGCAGGCAGCCGCGGCGCGGCAGTCACCATCGAGCGGGGGCTCAAGTCCCCTCGTAGGGGCACTGGGTCCCCCCTCCCACTCCAGGTCGACTGCGCCTGGACTGCCGTGGCGCTGGAGCAGGTGAGGCCAGTGGAGCAGGTGGCTCCGCGCCCGCGCGGCCCTGCGGGACATGTGGTCTCGCGGCCGCGTCTGGGGGCCGAGGCGGCGCTGGCTGCACTGGCGAGTGATGCGCTGGAGCAGCCGCGGCCCGCGGGGCAGGTGGCCCCACGCCCGCGCGGCCTTGCAGGACAGGAGGTCCCGCGGCCGCGTGTGGAGGAGGCGGCACAGGCTGTCCTGGATGGAGCCGCACCACCTGCTCTTCGTGCGCCACCTGTCGTCGCCGCAGCTTCAGACGGAACCCGAGGTGCAGAGCCAGTCCCCCACGGATCGGTTGCTGTCGGAGCTCCTGACCAAAGGCATCCACTGTTTGGGGTCCAGGCGGGGATTGGCTATAACGACGGGGCTGCGGCCCTACATGCCACCCCAGCCTCAATGCGCGAGGCGACCCGAGCCACGCCGCCCTACGAGGCACTGGACGGCGCCAGGGTGCCCGCAGGCATAGTCTTCGTCAAGGGCCACGTCAGGGAGCCCCACGCGGCCCAGCAGTGCGCACAGACGGTGTCGCAGTTCGTGGACCTGGTGCTCGAGCTGATTGGCGAGATCGTGCTCTACTTCAAGCGGATCGGCCTCCTGGCGGTGGAAGATCACGGGTCAGGCCAGCACTCCATCAAGGACGCCAACTACAGCAACGCGTTCCTGAAGGTGGGGCAGGACGGGCTGCTTGACATGCAGGTCGCGTCGGAGGAGGAGCTCCGCAGGGTGCGAGCACTCACGCCCCCCCTCCCGATCCTCCCGGCCACGCTGGAGCGGCGGAGGGCTATGCCCGAGGTTGCGAAGGCGCATCAGGTGGCGGAGTCCGCAGCAGAGGGTACCGACCCTTCGGGGCACGCACTGCTCACTGCGGGCCGAGCCACCTGGACGGCAGAGAGTACCGACCCCTCGGGGCACGCACTGCTCACCGTCCGAGCTGCACGGCGGATGGCGGCCAAGCCGAAGCAACCGAAGAGCGAGCACACGCTAGCCATCACGGCGAACGGCACCACATGGTCGAGCCTCACCGACCTGCTGCTGGATGAGGAGGGACGCCGAGCGGACATCTTCCTGGGCCAGGAGACCCATCTGTGCGGCACCGAGGCGTGCGCGACGCAGGAGGACTGGGCGGAGCGGGCCAAGTGGAACCTGCAGCTGGACCCAGCAGTACCCACAGGACGTGGAGGCACCAGCGGCGGCTTATGTATTGCAACGCAGCCGTGGCGAGGACTGGCGAGCTACCCATGCGTGAGCACGAGGTTCAGCATCGCACGCGGCCGAGTACAGCTGAGATGTTGGAAAGGATGGCTTCCAGGAGGCGTGGTGGTGGCCAACGTCTACCTGCACCACAGCGAGGGCATGACGGACAGGAACAGGCTCCTGGTCAACCTCCTCGCACGTGAGCTGAAGCGTCTGGCTCGGCCTTTCATCATTGGAGGCGACTTCAACATGCACCCCATGGAGCTAGCCAAGTCAGGGATCTTCGAGAAGCTGATGGCCGAGCCGATCTTCACCCAGGAGGCAACGCTCGGCGACTTGGCGGAGAGCTCCGTGCTGGACTACTGGGTCCTGCCGAAGGCCTTCGTGCCGAGGGGCGAGTCCTGCTTCGTGATTCACACCACCACCATCAAGGATCACCGCCCAGTTGGGCTCAAGCTGAAGAGCGGTGTGGTGGAGGACTTGATCACGGTCCACAAGGCCCCCGCCAGTTTCCCAGCTACACGGCCCATCGGGCCTGGGCGGGAGGTGGTGACATCCTGGGGTGAGGCCATGGCGGCCCTGGGGGAAACGGAGGGCTGTCAGGAGGCCTTGGCGGACGGGTTCGCGGCCTTCATGCAGGGAGCTGAGGAGGAGCTGGGCAGCTTGTTCCATATCCCGCAGGACGACATGCCGAGGTACACGGGGCGAGGGCTGGAACCGCGCTTCGTCAAAATACATCCCACGAGGCGGAACAACGCGGCGGTGGCCAAGGCATCCCCCGAGGCGCGCCAGGCTCTTTGGCTGCACGACCGTCTACGTGAGCTCCAGCGTGCGTACGAGAGGGACGAGCCGAGGCACCGTCAGGCAGCGAAGCGGCTCCTCGACACTCTGGAGCACTGGAATGGCTCCCTCAAGAAGGCTCAGGACTGGCACTTCTTTGAGGCGTACTGGCAGCGGCTGCGCAAGCTCTCGATCGACGACCTGGCCAAGCTGGCGGATCAGGCCCAGAACGTGAGCGTGCGCCTCTCCAAAGACTTCGAGAGAGCACGCTGCCGATCATTCGACGCCTGGGCGAAGCAGGCCACATTGAACGGAGCGGGCCTCGCCCACAAGTGGACGCGTGGGCCCGCGGGAGCGGGGCCAGGGCTGCTGGCCAACGGCGTGGCAGCGGATGTGCAGGACGCCGCCGGCAAGTTCTGCGCTGACTGGCCCCAGCAGGTCTGGAACGTCCGCGAGCCCATGGAGGTCACCAGCTGGGACGAGATCAAGCACCGCGTGTTGGACGCGCCCTCGGTTGAAGCCATCAGGACCGCGAGCAGGAAGTTCAAGCATCGGACGGCCTTGGGCTCCGACGCGTTCCACCCACGGTGGTTCGCGATGCTGCCCGACGAGGCGCCGGATTTCTTAGGCCAGCTCATGGTATACATGGAGAGGGTCGGCAACCAGCCGAAGCAGCTGACCACCATCATCGTCTTCCTCGCCAAGAAGGAGGGCTGGGTGAGGCCCATCGCCTTGCTAGGCGGATTTCTTCGAATATGGACAAAGGTACGGCGGGCACAAATGCAGCAGTGGGAGGACGAGCATGACCTGCCGCGCTTCCACAACGCGAGCGGTAGGACGGCCGAGCGGGCCGTCTGGGACCAGGCCGTCTATCAGGAGTGGGCCCTCAAGGTCGGCATGGTCACGGCATCGAACCAGCTCGACATGACCAAGGCCTACGAGAGGGTGGGCCACCAGACGCTCTGGGATGAGGGCTGCGCTAGCGGCGCCAACCTGGTGCTACTACGCACTAGCATCAGCATCTATGCAGGCCCACGGCGGTGCAAGGTCGACGACGCGGTCTCGTGCGTGGTCGAGCTGGGCTGCAGCATCTTGGCGGGCTGCGGCTTC